TTAACCACTTCGGCGGCATGGCGTTCCAATTGGCGTTCCATGAGTAAGTGGCAGAAGCGGCACAAAATGCGAAAATGGCGTTCCTACTTGAACTCGATTTCAAAAGTCTGTAGTTTTTAACACTTTTTACGAATGGCGTTCCAATATTCACCCAAAATAGTTCACAATATTGGATCCGCCTATTTGAATTTTTGAAAATCAATTTAAGATTCATAATCTCAAATAATAAAAAACATTTGGTTTGGTAAACTTAATTTGTTTACAGAGTTTAGAAATCAAGTTTAAATTGGAACGCCATTTTCGCATTTTTTGCCGCTTCTGTCACCTACTCACGCGACGCCAATTGGAACGCCATGCCGCTGAAGTGGTTAATAGGTTTTTTGATAAATTTTTAAAATTAATTAAGCTAAAAAAAATATTTTCTAAAAAGTACATTTTTCGCCACTGTGTAACGGTTTACAATTTTCATCTCCGAAATGGGGTCAACGATTGCGCGATCTTGGGGTTAAAGTTATTTATTTAGCGGTGCGACACCCTCAGGGAAAGCCAGTTGAACGTGTTATGAGAGAGTTGGGGAAATTATTTCGAACATTGTGTTCGGATAAACATACACGGTGGGCTCGATGTATCGGGGATGTTGAATTTTTCCTTAATGCAACGACTCATTTTTGTACCGGGTTGTCCCCTATGGAACTCCACTTTGGAAAGAAACCTGAAGATGAGATTGTGCAAATTATCCATTTTCCGGATCTGATTTTTAAGTCTTCTGGGTAATTATCCAGATAAGCGGCTTTTCCCAATTTTGCTTATGTTTAATTAATTCTGTTTGCAAAAGCTTTTAATAAGCTAGAAAATGAAAAATTAGTTGGGGGAAGACGAAAAAATTCATAACCGTAAGTCAATGATGGGAATTATTACCAAGACTTTAACATATTTTAAGTTATGTTAATAACATTATAAAGTCAATAATAGTTTTTCAAACAACTTCCATGAAAAGTTTTTAAATTTACTTGAAATCCATTCAAATATAAGTAGATATTACTTTTTGAGGTTATGTATTAAAATTTATTTATTGTTTTAAAACAATTTGAAATAAACACATAGGAAATTACGTAAAATGTTTAAAAGTTTCAATCAATTTTTGACTATAATATGCAGCTTCTTTAATTTTTTTCAATTTTTGTAAACTTCGCGAAGTATAAATTTCATTATTGTGACAATACAAAACCTCCTCCTTTTCTGTAATTTGATTGTATGTGTCGAGTTGCGGTTTATAAATCTTTAAACTCCTCTTCTTCTTCCTCCTCTTCTTGTTCATTTTGTGGAAATTCTCTTTTCAACATACTTTCTATTTCACTTTCAAAATTGACATATTTAATATTTTTAATTTTGACGTCATCAGATTTCACTGTACACTCTTTTGTACGGTGGTTCTTTCTCCCACAATCCCAACAGATCAGAACAGGATGATGCTCATGTTTGGAATTTCTATGCAAATGACCGTATTGTTTGCACTTGAAACACAAATTCAGTAATCTCAATGGTAGATTTGTATAATTTTTCGTGAAATTTGTTAATTGATAAAATACTGAAACCTCATTCTTTAATTATAATCCATAAACTTTTTCATACAATCCAATATCTATCGAAGTATCATCATTTAATGCTTGGTTTCTTTTTATATTCAACAAATTGTCATTCCAATAGAAACTATTGTAAATTTCCATAAATTGCAATTCTCTTTCCTTATTCCTCTTCATTTCTCTCACAGATAGGGCTGCAATGTTTTTCAAATAATTTTTTCTTCTTGGTTTCAGTAGAGATGGAACTTGTTTTATTTCTTGAATTCTATTAGGATGTGATGATGAATACAATGGTGGTATATCTTCATTGTCTGTCATTAACGAGCTATCAGCAGCCGATGTATAGCCGAAATCCATGATTTGAATAACTTAATAAATTTCAAAAACAATTTTCTTTTTCTTCTTCCAAAATGTTGAACATGAGAAACCAAGCTTTAAACGATAAACTAAACTTCTATTGAAAAAGACGGCTTCTCCTTAGAACAATTTCATCATAAGAAAAGCTTTTTGAGGTTATGTATACCTTGTAAATTTATAAAATTGCTTTTTTATATGCATAACTTGACATATTTTTAATTTCCTGATTCAGAAAATGTGCCATTTATATGTAGAAACAAAATTGTAATATTTTTTTTATTAGACAATGTATTTTCGTAAAATAATAATTTTTAATTGTGTACCATAATAGCCCCTACAAATGCTGAACTTTCAGTTTTTGACATTTTTCTATTAACATACTTAATAGAAAGTTAGCTTATCGCGTACACATTATCATAACTAAATTGTGAGCACTTAACTTGAATATTTTTTATTCTGCTTTCATAGATTTTATGTTTCAAGCAGATTTTTATAGATCACCCTCTAGTGTTAACAAAATTTGTGCTTTTTAACGATTTTTTTAATATTGTAGACAAAGTATACACTAATTACATTGTACTTCCTTTAGCGGCAATATATCGAACAACAATTACACCAAGTGCCAATTTTAAATATTTTGAAATGAATATTTTATAAATTGAAAAATGACTTGTTTCATAATAGCCCCCCTGTATCAGAATAGCCCCGTTCGACGGTAACACAATTGAAATTTAACAGAATTGCTATTTCACATAATTATCATGCAACAAAATTAACGTGTTACCTAAGTGTCATGCAACATAATTGGCATTTAACAGAATTGTCTTTTAAATTGAAATTTAACATAATCGACATGCAACAGAATTCAATTGTGTTGCTTGACAATTCTGTCAAATGTCAATTCTGTTACATTTAATTGTGTTAAACTTTTTTCCGTTATGTGAATATTTATGCGTCCCATATTGTACCTAGACTTTAAGAAAAAAAACCGGTTGATAGAAGTAAAACTTGGCAGTCGTTTAGGCATTAGCCTAATTTAAAATCTTAAACAATTTTCAAAGATGTGCAAAAGAATGTAGAGAATACTTTCTGTACAAAACTACTGTAGATCACACACTGCTAGATTGCGTTGCTAGTTAATTTAATATAATAATTGAATTAATAATAGAATAATTGAATTCTAAAAGCCTGGATTGATAATTATAAATATAAATATATTTTAAAGAAATTATTTATGTAATTCGTGATTTAGAAACTGTATGTAAAATTGTATTTACAGTTCCAGATGAAACAAGAGTCCAGAATTTTTTAAATTGTAATAACTGCACTAGTTTATAATAAAGAAAAAAATTTGCTTGCTAAACTGTTGAAAAATGAGCTTTTTTAGACATATGAAAAAGATAAATTATTTTCCCAAGCAGCACGTAAGCTTATTTTGACATCACTGTAATATTACATTGGAGATTCGTCATATTACACTGTAATATTACAGTGATCTTACTGGGATATCAAAATGTCCGCCTGGAAGTAATATTACGTTGTTATATTAAGAGAATATTCTCTGGTTATATTAAGGTAATATTACACTGTAATATTAACGTAATGTTAAGGTAATATTCAGATAAAATTAGAATAATTTTATAATTTAGAAAAAAACATTTCACAAAGCTGGACTCGAACCGTGAACCATGTGCATAGTAATCATGAGTCTTACCACTGAACCAAACTTACTTGTAGTGTATTAAGATTCTCGACGGTATATAATCTTTGTAAGTTTTTTTTTAAAGTTCTTAATATTTCATCTAAAATCTTAATACACTATAAGTAAGTTTGGCTCAGTGGTAAGACTCTTGATTACTGTGCACAAGGTTCAGGGTTCAAGTTCAGCTTTGTGAATTGTTTTTTTCTAAATTATAAAATTATTCTAATTTTATCTATATATTACCTTAACATTACGTTAATATTACCTTAATATTACCATGTAATGTTCTCTTAATATAACAACGTAATATTACCTCTAGGCGCACATTTTGATATCTCAGTAAGATCACTGTAATATTACAGTGTAATATGACGAATCTCCAAAGTAATATTACAGTGATGTCAAGATAAGCTTACGTGCTGCTTGGGTTGACTGACTTCAAAGTAATAGTTTGCAGTGCAACATTGTGAAAAGCTTACGCTTCATGCACTTGTGAAGAAATTTTACTATTTGAGGCATTCTTTATCAAACCGTTTCGACAACAAAAGATGATTGCGGAAAGAGTATTTTTTTAAGTTTTTATTATATAAAAGAAGAATTATTAATATTAGGTTATAGACTAATTCGAAAAAGAATTTAGTGGACTTTGCAGTAGTTTATTTAATTTCTCTTAATTTCGTTGAGAAATTCCTGTTCGAATTGTAAAACTCATAATATCTCAAAACACCCCCTTTAATTTTATTAAAACTTATGTAAAAAATAAAGCTTACATTTTTAGTTTCCAGTCACTTCTGTTTACTGTGGATATTTTAGAGGAATTCTTACATAAAATTTAAAATAACATGTGTGTTTTTGAATAACTTGGCACAAAGTATGAACTAAAATTTTACAAAACATTTAATGTTCACTAGCTTTTTTCTAAATATGTAAAACTTAAAAAAATATGTTTTATTTTCATTTTTATGTCAAATTCTACTAAAATGTCTATAATAAATATAGGAACTACAAAGTAGAAAATTAAGCTTTTTCACATAGGATTTAATATAATTGAAAGGGGGTGTTCTGAGATATTATGAGTTTTATATTTCAGAGATTTCTCTACAATATTAAAAAGAATTAAAAAAAATAAAAATATAATTAGAAAGATTATTTAATTCTCTTTGGGATTTGATTATAACATATTACCAAGAATTAAAATTTTTATGCAATAAAATTAGCTTACAAAGTGAGTTGCTGAAATTATACGAAACTGTAAAAGTGATCGTCTTTTAATGTTGAAACAGTTTGAAATAGAATGCCTTATGTACAGAAAGCTTGCAGTGCAAGTTTTTATTAATTTTATATCCACTTTTATTTACCAGTAAATAATAAGGTTAGAAATTTTCCACTTTCTGCATATGATTTTAAAATTTCAAATTCTTTTCCAGAATTCCAGACCTTCCAATCATTTCTGATACAATCTAAAAGTTCCTGCAACTGATAAATGTGTAAACTGTAATATAAAATTTTTAAAGATTATATAGTTAAGAAAAAGACGTAGGAGCATAAGGTTACTTCCCCTCTTTTCCTTAAAAAATTAAGTTTATTTAGCTAAAGGTTTTTCTCTTACTTCTTTCTCCTTACAAAAGCAAGTAAGTGCCTTGAAAAATGCCCCAAGTATAATGCAAAGAGTTGGCAAAGTTTCTAAAGTTTCATCCAAGTCTCCCCAAACTGTATAAATGTGAAGAAGCTGTAAATGATGAATACAAAATTAAAATCCCTTACCTATAAAAGAAAAAATGTGTTTAATTTCAAAAATTAAAACACTGTGACGTTTTAACGAAAATTAAATATTGCAATCAAAAAGAGGGAGAAGAAATTCAAAGCTTTGTCTGGAACAAGAAAACTTTGCAAAATTACACCAGCAAAAAGGCTTGAAATGGGACATACGTCGTGCGTACGAACACTTGCTTATTGAATATAAAATGCATATTAAAAGAAATGATTTCTCAACCTTCGAGGAATTAGAAAGTTTAGAAAAAGAATTCAAAAAAGAAAACAACTAACTTAAAATAACATTTCCACCTTAAACAGCTACAGATGGTAGCAGAGGTTAGAAAATACTGGAAAATCCTTCTGATAATGAAAATGATTCAGATAGTAGTCTTCAAGTGACAGTATCAAACCATTCTTATGCAAGAAATACGAATCAAGACGAATCAAAATGATAGAAATTATCAGAAAAATTCTTCAAATTCAAGAAATTTGTATAAATCCTCCCGTCATATAGGAACCGTTATTTTTTATTTTGAAAATCTGAATTTAAATTCGTAATCAACGACCCCGAAAACCCCTTCATACCAAAATTGAGGTAAATCCGTCAATATTTACAGAATTTTGTCTGTCACGTAAAATCCAACATGTATTTTGAGATTATGTGAAGATCCTGACGTGATGGAGCAAATCGGACTGTAGATTTATTTTTAGCGACCCCAAAAACATGTAATGAACATGGTGAAAGGAACCTTTTATTGATTTTTTTGTAAGCCTGTAAAATCACTTAAACTTTTTTTAACTTTACTTATTTTTATCTTCGAGTAAAGCTTTGAGAATACTAAATAAGTTTTGAATTTATTAATAAAGACTATTATGTGCATCACAAATGATTTTGCGAACATTGTACAAAACGCGTTGTACAGAGCTGGCACAGTATAGTAAAGTAAAAGGGTGTGCATTTTAACATAGCGTTTTAGAATATTTGTTTTAAACTATTTTGATATTATTCTTTTTCTTAACCTAGAAATGTTAATCGCGAACTACTTTTTATGTTAGGAGTTAATAGACGTTCTTTAAAAAGTCGAAATATAAAAACTTGAATAAAACAATTGTCATTAACTGGTACAATAATTTAAATGTATAAAATTAACATATTCATAAACTTATTGTTAATGCACAGATAATTTAAAATCAATGTATCCGTTAATGAAATTTTACGTATTTGTGAAATAATTTTGTCTTTCATTCAACAATGAATGAAAACTTAATCACATAAGTGGTTTATAAGTTCATGAATTTTCCGGCGCTGTCTAACAGTATATGTTAATGCAATATTTGGCTAAAATTGCAAATAGGGAAATATTTTCCTAACATGATTAATTTTATACAACTTATAACCACGCTAAATCCACTATACTAAATAACATTCCTAAATATTAAATCTTTCTATTACTACTTATTAGACTTCAGTAAAAATAATAATAAATTTTTAAATACCCATCTTGCATTAAAATTTAACAATTAGTATTATATAGAAATTATGACTGTATTCACATTTCATTTTTTTCACTCTTTCATGTTACTATTTAAACAAAAAATTTTGTTTATAAACTGTAAAAAAATGTTTAATACCATGGGTATAAAATTGCACAAGAAAATACTTAAAGACATAAATTTAATGATATTTCTTTTCGTAGTATTTTGATAAGGCCACATTCCAGTGCATTTTTGATAAAATGTATTGATTCTATAGAAATTATTATCAAATACGTTCATTGTGCGAGGATAGTCTTTATACTGACAATGCTCATTTGATTATACGCTATACTTTATTATTTTTCTATAGTATCTTATAAAAGATTCTTATCTAAAGTACAGGAAACGATTATACAAATTTATTCTACAACCGTTACATGTAAAGGCAAGAGATTTTAATAATAACTTCATTTCACAGAATATACATCTCCTTTAACTCGAATATGTCGAATGAATAATTTTCAACTCAGATTCTAAAAAATTGTAAGTGACGTTTTCTTATATCTGTGGAAAGTAATAAGCTAATGTAAAGTCCACATATTACGAGAAATTTAAGTATTTATAAATTTATAGGAATAGTTTGCAGTAATTCTATGAAATCTGTATTCCGTTATTTAAAGGAAAAAGATTAGTTTAAGGTCGATATTTTTGCTTTCAGAAAGGGTTGAATTTCTTCAGTTTCTATTCATCATCAAATAAATGACGTTGTAATACTTTTAAAATACGATGTTAGAAAATGTTAAATATAAATTTCCAATTATTTTCGGTTTTTATATTTTTGCTTTATTGTCCTTTAATTTATAAATTTTTACAAATGGTGTGAACAGATTTTTCTCTATACAGGAAATATGGTTTATAAGATCTGATCAATTATCCTGATATATCTATGTGTGGATCCCTTTTTGTGAGCACGATAACTCTAAAAGATTGGAACGAATTTCCGAAAAAATTACTACGTATATTAATTCTAAAAATATCTCAAAATTGACAGATTTAAAAATCCTCAGAAAAATTTTTTCATGATGTTTGTCAAAACTTTTTTTATTTTTAATATTAAAGTTTATATATAATAATGTCTTATTCTTTACAATAAAACGAATCGACTAAGGTATATAAATTATTTATTTTATTCAATATTAAGGGGTTATATCGGTTTGGATTTTTTTTCTTTTTTTATTGGCTTAAATTACGTCAAAACATTCCTAGATTAATAATCAATAACGACTAAGCATGAAAAGGCCTTACAAATGCTCTAAAAATAAGGTTTTGTAGAGCAACTTTGAGATCTTAATAGAACAAATTTCGACTATATTTATTGTTATATTTATTAACCAATAGCCGCCATTTTGTAAATTCATGGCAATAAACCATTTTTTATATTCCAGAAAAGTTGCATAATTGATTCATATATTATTTGTTTATGTTCATTCTTTTTAGGCCTCTAAACAGATATAACCACTTAATAAAATTAATCATAATGAAACCTGAAAAATTCACAATTTTACAAAACATTCTTTTCTTTAATAAGAATGATGTTACTACAGAATAAAATCGAATTCCTTACATGAAGACGAATCAAAAATCTTGTTTTTTTCATCAATACTAATGTGAACATGTATTCTAATGTGAACATAAACCTCGACATAACTTTTTGCAGGATTTCTGAATTTTTTAAAATTGTGGATAGGTATATCGAAAGTCTGCGATAGATGATTCTTATCTATAAGTTACTATATATGTACTACAGTTACTATAGACACCTACAGATTGTATGTACGCCCAAAAATGGTTCAGTAGGACCGCGGGTATACTTATGTACAGAAATAAATAAATAAATACGAATTCAATAATAGGAAATTCTTGTAATGAATACCTCGACTTACAACTTCTCTATATATTAATAATTTTAATATACGTAACTTAATGTAAATTTGATGTAAGTACACTAATTACACACATTAAAATAATTAAAGAGCAATACAAATGACTCATTAATTTAGTTAAAATTTTAAAACTCTTTGGCAGCTATATAATTACCAAAATATTAATTATTGTTTCAGAAATATTTTTCAAAATAATGGATACGAAAATGGAAATTTTAGACCAAAAAAAAATTTTTGTTTATACTTTGCACAAGCCAAATTTGTACGTTACTTCAACTTCACAGTCAAGTCGTCACTCTGCTGACTTACCGAGGGAGGAGAAAATTTCAAAGCCTCCTGGAAAAGGAGTCATTTTAACGAAGCAAGACGGTGATTTCACAAAGGAACAGAAGAGGAAAAAGTCCTTGACTGGGATGTTGCATGTAAGCGGAATCGTGAGTCGCAGCGAATGTCGTATTCCCACCATCCCATCTACCCAATGTTTTCCACTCATGACGAATCAAGAGGGGAGTGCATTAAATATATGGGATGGTGGGAATACGACAATTGTTGTTGGACCCTGGTTCAGAAGCGACTCTTATTTCTCGTAGTTTAGTACGAAACATAGGACTAAAACCAATATATACCTCCGCTCCTCTTAGAAACATTGGAAACACCAATATACAAATAGCACGACACAAAGTTACTCTTTGTCTTTTACCTGCCCAGTAAAGAAGAAAGTATTGAGTGGAGCGTTTAGGAATTGAGTGAAGCTCTGAGCTAATACGGATTGGAGTAAAAACCGTATTGGGACGTTTGACTCCATCTTTTTTTCATCCGCCGAATACGTTCTTATTTTAGCATTAAAATTAAAATCACATGAGCAGAGTACACATTATAAATTGAAAGCACAATTGTCCTGGAATGTAAAAATGCCGATTTCGATAAGAAACAGTAAATATTTGTTAAAAATTGGTAAAAGCAAAGTTTGACAAGCGCGACTGAATTTACCATGTGAATAAATGAAGTTGAACTTACCACTTCATTTATTCACATGGTAAATTTAGTCACGCTTGTCAAACTTTGCTTTTACCAATTTTTAACAAATATTTACTGTTTCTTATCAAAATCTGCATTTTTACATTCCAGGACAATTGTGCTTTCAATTTATAATGTGTACTCTGGTCTTGTGATTTTAATTTTAATGCTAAAATAAGACCGTGCTCGGCGGATGAAAAAAGATTGAGTCAAACGTCCCAATACGGTTTTTACTCAAATCCGTATTGGATCAGTGCTTCACTCAATTCCTAAACGTTCCACTTAATACTTTCTTTTTTACTGGGTGATGAACTATTTCCTCTCTTACAAGTAACTACCTTTGTTATATGCGACTTAAATTTATTAATACCTTCTCGTAAAATTACTTTAAACCATTGGACTCATATTTAGAGACTTAGTTTAGCAGATACCGAGTTTAATATTCCTCAAACAATTAACATTTTAATTGTCGCTGATATTTACGAATCAATCATACTCGACAAAATCAGTCGAAGAATATCACATGAGCCTAAAGCACTACAGACAGTCTTTG